TTTTTAAATATATATGTGCATGTGTGTGTATTTATATATAATAATATATAATAAATATACACAGTACACACACAAATATTATATAAACAAAAACTTTTATTTTGAATGTGATTAATCGCGATTAATCGTTTGACAGCACTAATATATATATGTGTGTGTGTGTGTGTGTGTGTGTGCACGTTTTTGTGAACCATTACGCTTATGGGATGTCCCCACTTTTCACAAAAACAAACCTGTGTGTGTGTGTGAGTGAGTGTGTGCCTGTGTGTGTGTGTGTGTGTGTGTGTGTGTGTGTGTGTGTGTGCGTTTTTGTGACAAATGAGGACATACATTTGTATAATGACAAGGGTATGACATAGGTATTACGAGGAGAAGGTGACTTTTCAGGACATTACCCCATGTCCTCACTTTTCAAAACGCTTATAAATCACACAGAATGGAGTGTATTGAAAATCTGAAATAGCAGAAAGTTTCCTGTGAGGGGTAGGTTTAGGGGTAGGGTTGGTGTAGGGCAATAGAATATACGGTCTGTACAGTAGAAAAACCATTACGCCTATGGGATGTCCCCACTTTTCACAAAAACAAACCTGTGTGTGTGTAAAATGTAATACTTCAACTTATTTAATGCAAATAGAATTGCATGTAGTTTGTTCATATATTTATTTTTATTTTCTAATTTAATTTATTCAACGAATTTCAGCATTATTTTAGTATTATTGAGATACTATTATAGTTTTTCCTAATATTTTGAATTGTTTTTTTATTATTCTGTTTTAATTTTAATTTTAAAGTTTTAGTCATTTTGTTGTATTTTTGTCATCATCATTATTATTATTATTATTATTTAATATGTCTATAGTTTTTTTTATTACTTTTATTTCAGTTTGAAATGAAAGTCAGAAATGTTGCTTTGGCAACTACCTGAAACAAAAATATGTTTTTTGATATTTTATTTTATTTCAGTTCACATTTTGTTTCATGTAACATTTTTTATGGTTTTAGTTTTAATTAACTATATTTTTTATAGTTTTAGTTAACAATTAAGTTTCAAAGTAGCTTCCCAAATTAGCACTGCTTTCCTTCTATAAAGCTGATGTGAGAGATAAAAAGGGAACAATTGAAAAAAAGAAGTAAAGAAAGAAAGAAACTTCAATTCTGGATGAAAATCACTGGTTACACTTTATTTTAAGGTGTCCTTGTTACAGTGTAATTATACATATAAGTACTGAGTAATATTAATTAACTACACTCTAAAAAATGCTGGGTTAAATACATAC